ACAATGAATTGAGTCATTGGGTAATGGCTCTGTTTCATGTTCAAAGTGCCTGCGCCATTTCACACCCCACCACAAGCACTCGAGAGCTCCATGTTCCCCACATCCTCCCACGTCCCTGTGTTTCCCTAAGGCTGAGCAATGGTGCGCACCTTTTTTTTTTTTGTGTCCCCTGACCATTTGTGGGACTTCTTTAGAGAAACAACCACTCAAATCAGCCTCTTCTGTGTGGGACTCGATGGCATACAGCCTTCCCATAGGGTTCACAGTGTACCTTCCTTCCACTTTCTTTTCTATTTTTTTTAATGGTACTGGGATTTGAACTCAGGGCCTTCACCAGCCCTAGTTTTGTGAAGGGTTTTTCGAGAAAAGGTCTTGAGAACTATTTGCCCAGGGCTGACTTTGAACCATGACCCTTCTGATTTCTGCCTCCTTCGCAGCTGGGATTACAGGTGTGAACCACTGGCACTTGGCTTCTTCTACTTTCTTGACCAACTACTGACAATTTTGTAATTTTGGTAAAATGCAGCACACAGCCATCTGGGGTGAGAGGATAGAGAAGGCCTTTTATGGCCACCAAGTGGATCCATGTGGTTCCTCACAGCGACTGTGAGGTACTCTTGCCTTGGACATACCCAGATGTTTTATCTAGTTCCTCTCGGGAAACTGTTCGTTTTTAGTTTTTCTGTTATAAACAATGTGAGCATTGTTTGGATTATCTGTCTCCGAAACTGACCACCCACATGTAGTAGCTTAAAACAACAATGTTCTGTTGCTCAGGAATTTGGGCAGGGCTTAGTCGGGTGGTTCTTCTGCTCCTACTGACATCTGTTGCAGTCATGAATGGAGCTGGCCTGGCTTCTCTCTCCCTTTTTGCAGACCCTCATCCTTCTTGGCCTCCACCTAGCCCTTCACAAGACCTCTGTCTTCAGCAGTGGTGAAACTCCCTGAGTCACTTCCTGAGGGCAAAGCCAGAGCTTCTAGGCCTCTTAAGTCCTAGCCTTGCACCTGGTGGGGCCTCATTTCCACTGGGGTCTCTTGTTCACAGCAGGTCACATGATCCTCCAGACTTCAAAGATGGGAACCAGACTCCACCACTGTCTAGGCTGCACATGGGCACAGACAGGGGGAACTGTTGGTGGCCATATTGGCAGAGGGTCTCACACAACCGTGACCATCCTTACACACTGTCTGATGAACGTTGGAGATAATGGTGGACAGCCTTGGATAGATATGTGACCTACTGATTAGAGGATCTTGGGCAAGTCCCATAACCTCTGGGCCCAGGACTCATAAAGCCCACCCTAGAATTTCTTTCAGTGTAGCAGGGAAAACACACCAACCCTGCTATACTAGTATTGTGCTGACTACAGAACCCCCCCTGCCCCGGGAGCCCCAGGAGTCTGTGCCTAGTTTTCACTGGGCTTTCCTCAGTCAGTGACAAAGATGACATTGTCCTCTTACAGAGGAGGACAACCGAGATGTAGCTTGCCCATTGTCCACCACTTGGCTCTTGTTCTCTTCTGGCATTTTTCTGCCCCATATGGTGCTGTGTGACATGTGTCATACAGGATTCAACAGCTCCAAGTCTCTTGTTCCCTGTTGAGACAGTGAGTAAAGGAGGTGACAGGGCTCAAGTACTGGAGTTCTCAAGTGAAATTTCCTGTGCCGCAGCCTGGTTCTGTTCTTATCACCTGTCACTTTCTTGATCTGTGAAGCGGGAAGTCTCAGGAGGACCTAGGGCTGCCAGGGCGGGGAGACTCAGAGAACCTGACTTGGAAAGCACCTAGGTTTCGGGAGTGGCAAAGGTAAGGGATGCGTTTCGGTTCCCCAGGGCCCTCGCCCTAAGCCTTCCCCACCTCTGCTCTCACCTGGCTGGGGCAGGGAGGCCATTGTACTCAAGGTAAATAAACTGTCACAAAGGGCTCATTCAGTGCTGTCCTGTCATAAGTCAGAGGCAGTGTTCTTTTGTGATGCTTCAAAAGATGCTCCCGGTGGTAACGAGAAATCCTGCTGTCCCCAGCTCGGTCTGGACAGGCTGCAGTGTGTGTAAGATGTTTTTGTTATGCGGTCCTGCCTCATGGCCTGGCTGAGTGTCTAAAAGTGAATCCGTGTGAAACTTGTCCCACTGTCCACAAGGCTCCCCTGTCCTGTGCCTGCAGACCAAGGTGTGGCTTTTCAACTATGCCTGGGACAAGCTGCAGACTGTGACTGGGGTAGGTGAGTCACTGCTGGCCTGGAACATGTGGCCCTCGGTGTCCTGGCTGGTAATAAGAGGATGTTTAACATCGCTGGGCAGGGCAGCCTCTGTGCAAGGCCCGCTGTTCCCCTGGTCACCGCTCACTGTTTCACTGGATGAGGGCCCGCCCAAATATCTGTCACATTTTCCTGCAACATTACAGCCCAGGTTTGGGACTTCTGTGTGTCAGGGCAGAAGTTTCCCGTCTCGGGGAGAAATTGTTTTGACTCCGACCATGCTTCTGCTCTCGTCTGTTAATTGTCCAGAGTGACTACCTGGCCCACAGACAATTTGGGAACCCTCCAGAGTCCAGGAAACCATCAAGGAAAATTGGAAATGAAGACAGCAGGAAATTCTTGTCTGTAGGTTTGAAAGCCCTGTGGACATCCCCCAAGTGAGTTCTGGAACAGCCTCTAAAAGGGCACTGGGAGAAATGGAAGCCAAGGGGTCCTGAAAAGTCATCTCATTGTTTTAATTGAGTTTGGATGTGAAAGTCAAATGTAGGGTCTTTAAAATCCTGTACAGCCCACACAGGGGTTCCTTGCTTCTGTAACCTCTGTGTTGTGGAGGGGAGGGTCGCTCCCCCATGTGCTATTGGAGTACATGTTGTCTTGTATGGTGGCTGTTTTAATGGTCCATAAGATCAGAAGTCATAGCATTCAAACACATGAAATAACCGTCTTTGTTTGTGCTACTGTAACAAACTACCCAAGACTGGGTAATTTGTAAAGAGTAAAAATTCCTGTCTCACAGTTCTGGAGGCTGGAGAACCAAGTGAAGGTGTCATAGGGTCAGGTGAATTTTGCTCTTTTTCAAGATGGCACCTTGCTACCATGTACTCAAATGGCTAAAAGAGGAAGTGCAAAGGGGGCCAAACTCCCTCCCTTGATTCTCTACCAAGGGCTAATCCCTTCACAAGGGCGGAGCCCTCAGGACCTAACCACCTAGGAGAGGTCCTACCTTTCGATACTGTCACATTTCAAATTAAGTTTCATCATGAGTTTGGGGAGGGACATGAACATTCAGACTGAAGGATGTAATTCAGCCTTTTCCTAATTGGGTTCTAGGGGTTGTTACTACATAAAAAGTGGGATTTGGGGGGCAGTGGTGAGCCTGTCCTGGACCTCGCAGTTCTGGTTATGCTGCCCATCACACCACCCACTGTCAAAGCCTGGGCACGTGACCTGACTGGGCCACCTAGAGTCTCTGTCCCCGGATTTGTGACTGAGGGGATGCAGAGAGGGAAAACCACTCAAATTCAGCCCCTGTGTGTTTGTGCAGGTGAGGCTGTCATCCCCCACACCTGCCTGGGCTCTGATGCTGAGGCATGTTGCCAGTGGTTCTAAGTTAAAATAAGTTGGGACATTGGCCAGCGCTGCAGGTTTATTTCCTGGGTTGTACACGCTCCTGTGTCTGCTGGAGTCAGTGCATTCCAGCCTGTTGCAAATCTGGAGGTCCCCAGGTGGCAATGATGAGTGGGGGTGGTTGGCAGTAGTTTAGTAGGAAGAGGGGTCTGGGGCCAATTGGAGATGTGTCCTAATTCAGGGGACATCTGGTGCTTGGCTCTGGCCACTGGCTCAGTGGGACATACTGCAATGAATTTGACTTGTCAGAGGCTCTAAAATAGTGGCAGCTGCACCTGAGCAAAGGTAACATCCAGAAGAGGCATCTTCATGCATGGGGCAGGCTTGGGCTTGCAGGTAGCCTGGCCCTTGGCCCAGTGGCGTAACACTGGGTAAACAGCTCTGCCTTTTTGAGCCTTTGCTTGAGATTTGCACAAGGTGTGGGCAATAACATCCACCTCACAGAGTTGTTGGAAGGACCCAGCCACAGGAGGCTTGTCAGGCTTTTCAGCCCAGAGCCTGGTATGTGGTAAGTGTGCAACAAATAGTTGTCACGATGATAGCTTTGTATGTGAGTGGCAAAAATTCACCTTGGGTTTTACCATGGTGCTTTCCAAGCCAACCATCTACCCGTCCACTTATCCACTCACCTGTCCACCTCATCCATCCATCCACCCACCAATCCATCCATCCACCCGCCATTCATCCATCTAACCACCCATCCACCCATCCACCCATCCACCCATCCATCCATCTATCCATCCATCCACCCACCCACCAATCCATCCATCCATCCATCCATCCACCCTTCCATCCATCCATCTACCCATCCATCCATCTACCCACCAATCCATCCATCCACCCATCCATCCACCCACTAATCCATCCAACCATCCACCCATCCATCTACAATCCATCCACCCATCCACCCACACATCCATCCATCTATCCATCCACCCACCCACCCACCTATACATCCATCCTCTCATCCATCCGTCCATCCACCCACCCATCCACCGATACATCTATCCTCTTATCCATCCAGCCAGCCATCCATCCATCCACAATCCATCCATCCATCCACCCACCCATCCACCCACACATCCATCCATCCATCCACCCACTCACCCATCCACCTATACATCCATTCATCCATCCACCCATCTATCCATCCATCCATCCATCCACCTATACATCTGTCCTCTTATCCATCCATCCATCTATCCGTCCATCCACCCACTCACCTGTCCATCCATTTATCCACCCTGGGTCTTGGGCTGGCGAACCCAATTATCAGTGACTAGTAGGCCTCCTCCTACTCCCCCGTCCCACAGACTCTCCTCTCTGGTAAGTGGCTGGCTGGCTGGGTGGTAGAGCCCTGACCCAGCTAACCTGGAACTGTGTCTCTTTTATCTCTCCAGGGAGTCAGACCTCTTCCTTCTGGACAGCCGCACCCTCTGGGCCTCGGAGGAGGGCTGGCTGGTGTTTGACATCACAGCCACCAGCAACCACTGGGTGGTCAACCCTCGGCACAACTTGGGCCTGCAGCTTTCGGTGGAGACTCTGGATGGTGAGTCCCTGGCCAAGGCCACCACAAGTCCAGGGCAGCCCTGCTTAGGAATCTCAGGAGGTTTTAGCAGTATGCACGCTCATTTCCATTTGAGCAGGCTTTCCCCACCCTTCCAACCAGGACTTCATGCCTCACTTTTTGGATCCAAACTCAAAGCAGCCCCTTTTCCTTGCATGGGAAGAGTGTGAGGCGGGCCACAGCTGAGCGAGGTAAGGCCTCACTGCTTAGAATGGTCCTACATCAGCTGGGTGGGTCCCATGGGTGGCTCTCGTTCTGTTGGAAATGTAGAATCTCTGTTATATCAACAGCACACCTGCACGAGAGCCCCAAGGCAGCACTGTAGACAGGGCACTCTGGGAAGTGCTGGTGCAGGCTTTCTACCTCCTGACTCCGCGTTCCCGGCCATCCCAGGCACTGGAGCGTGTTAAGTGGCCTCCCTGGCCTCGTACCAGTGGATACTACTAGCATCTCCCTTTTATAACACTCAGGATGTCCTCTGTGGGACAGAATCGTCCCCGCTTGAGAACCACTACACTGCTCAAAGCATTTGTCCCTTCTACATAGACCCTGAGTGTGGTTCTGCGCCTGAAATCTTGGAGAAGCCATTGTTAACTGGGCCTCCCCAGAGTCTTTCACTCCCTGTCCAATCCGCTACCTTCAAAAAGGGCAGACTGGAAGGTGAGTGGGAGCTGGGAGTGAGCTCTGCCAGTTTCTCCTTCCCCCAAAGTGTGTTTCTGATTAAATGGGGGCTGTTTCTGGGTGTGTAGCTCCTTACCTTCCACTGGTTGTAGGAAAACAATTTTTTTTCACTTACTTTGGAATAGGAGCTACATGCCTGTGGCTCCACAGTCAAATATTATGGAAATATGAAATAGTAAATGGTTTCCCTCCAACTTTCTTCCCAAGCTGTAGAGTTGCACTTCCCAGAGGCAGCTTTTGCTTTTATTGGGTGGCTTTTCAGAGGTGCTCTCTTGGTAGTTAAGTGATTATGCATATATTCTGCCTTCCGTTTTTTCTTCTCCCACAAATGATGGCACAGTATACACAGTGTTCTTCATCTGACACCTTATCTTGGAGAGGGGACCTATGTGCCATTAAGGAGCTTCCTTGTTTGTTTTAAAGCTTAGGTGTTTTATATCCACGTAGAGTGTGACTGTAGGTCACACTGCCTGTCTCTCACTGTGTGACTTTGGATGGATTCCCTGACCTCTCAAAACCTTAGCTTCCTCATCTTCAACACACAGGTGGTAAGGGAGCTGGGCCATTGGGTTGTGTGAGATCTCAAGAAGGGAAGAGCTGTGACTAAGGTGGCTTATGCCTGTAATCTCAGCTACTTGAAAGGTGGAGATAGGGAGAATTGCAGTTTCTGGGCAGCTTGTGTAAAAAGTTAGTGAGCCAGATGTGGTACTACACTGCTGTAATCCCAATTGCTCGGGAGGTATAGGTAGGAGGGTCTTGATCTGAGGCCTGCTCAGGGCAAAAATATAAGACTCTACCTGAAAAATAACTAAAGCAAAAGTGCTGAGGGTGTGGTTCAGGTGGTAGAGCACCTGCCTAGCAAGTGCAAGGCCCTGAGTTCAAACCCCAGTACCACCCAAAAAAAGAAATTAAAAAAAAAAAGGGGAAGAACTTTAAAGATCATGCCTTGATATGCACAGGAATCACTGAGCGTCTTGTTAAGACTAGGTTCTGATTGAGCAGGCCTAGAGTGTGGGAGGGCTGCCTTCCTAGACAGGGATGGTCAGGCTGCTGGCCCCTGAACCACGCGCTGTGTTTTAAGGGGTTTAGATGCCACCTGCACGAGCTGTTCTTACTGTCTTCCAAGCTGGATGCCTGGTGTTGTCCAGTCTTGCCGTTGCACACAGGCTGCAGAGGGAAGACTGGGGCACCAGTCATTTCCAGCTGAGCCAGTGCAGTCTCAGGTGATCTCCTGGGCGTAGTGTGACCCTCTTCTGTACCCCTCCAGTAACCTTTGAGGGTGCCTGCTTCCTCTTCCTCACTGGTTCGAGCCCTTGTCCTGGTCCCTCCTTGCCAGTCCGGGGAAGGACAAATGGCACCTGTGTGTGGCTTTGCTTTTCTGTCTTCTGTGGGAAGTAGCGGTGTCTCATGTGTGCCTCCCCGTCCTCTGTGCTTCGCTCTGATCACCCATTCACCTTTTTCTTCTTCGTTTTGTCTCTTTGCAGTTCGAGCAGCAATCTTTTGTCAGTTTTTAGTTTTCTTTTTTCCTTGCTGAGGCTGGCTCTTGTCAAGTGGGTCGGACAGCGTAGCTGATCAAGTTGCCTTTTTCTTTACAGATCCTGGCTCTTCTTCTTCCTGTCAGGCCACTGCTGTGGTCTGGAGCTGGGGAACAAATGGCCAGAAACTCAGGGTGACTTCATGAAAGTCTGGCTTAGGGGCCTTCTAACTTGACCCATGGTACAGGACGTGGGGGCTGGGAGAGTCCGCATGTTTTCAAGGCCTGCAGTGGGAGTTTGGGCGCCCTGTGTTCTAGAGGGCTCCTGCTGACAGGCTGCCCTTGGGTCCTGGGCCTGAGCCTTTTCCTGTCAGATGCCCACTGGTGAGAGACCCTCACTCAGGGAGTCAGCGTTCATCAGCAACTGACTGCGTGCCTGGCCCTGAGCTGGTGGCAGAGTCCCTGGTACCCGCCCTGGGGACCCCCTGCCAGCCTTGACTGAGATAGCCACTGGCTCACTGCCTTGAACCGCACCTGGAGAGCCTGGGCCTACGGTAGGAGGCAATAGTGCCCAGTCCTGGCCAGGGAGGCAGGAAATGGCACAGATCCCTCCCTGACTCCAGATAGCATCTTGTGGTCATGAGGCCATGTTCCTGGTGGCTGGTGGCATTCACAGTGGGTTGCCTCTTGGGCCTTGGCTTCCTTTCCATGTGCGTGGTAGAAGCACAGCCAGCTGCTTCTGTCCTGGCATGGTACCGCACCATGGCCCCCAAACTTCTCAGCCTGTAAGCTCCCACTTCCCTTCCATCTGGCCTTGGGGGAGGTCCCGCTTGAGGGTATCCTTCTGAGACCACCTAGGAGGTGAGCAGAGCCTGCCTGCTCCCTGCCCCCCAGCTGTGGCCTCCTGTTAGTCACAGCAGCAGCACAGCTGGGGCTCTGCTGGAGACACCGGGCTGCCCATGTGGAAGGGAAGCCCAGAACTTTCACACCTGCAGCTCTTGGAGGAAGCTAGGCATCACAGGCTCACGTCCCGAGGAGGAGAGGGATGGATGGTGCAGGGGTGAAGTCTGCTGTCCTCCCTTCCTTTCATACAGAAGAGACCAGAGAGGTGCCAACCCCTGCCCAAGCCCCACAGCCTGCCCTTCCTGCCTCTGAATCTGCCATGTCCTATATCCCAGCTGTTGCCTGGCGCTGGCAATGAGTGGCTGTATGGCCAAGGGTGAGTGGGAGAGGGGAGGGAGCACCCTGAGCAGATGCACTCCTGTGACTGAACCCAAGTGGTGCTGGCAGGTGCCAAGCTGGTGGCAGCCTCACTGCAGACCAGGCCCCAAGTTCTTCCTCTTGTGGGTGCTGGGAACAGGACAGGCTCACTGCCCCTGGGGTCACCCTGCATGCCCTCAGCAGCCTGCCCCACCTCTCGGTGCCTTGTTCCTTCATCTGTTCTGTGGGCATAGCAACACCACCTGCTTCATAGGCAGCTGGGAGGAAGGAAGGGGTGAACTCAGAGCCCAGTGTGAGCCCTCCATCTGCACTCTCGGGAGTCAGATATCATTACTGATGATGTACTTAATTCTCACAGTAACTGTCCAGGGAGCACAGTGGTCACCATTAGCCTTTTACTGACGAGGAAACCAAGGCAGAAAAAGCCGAAGAGTTAAGTCCCGTGGCTCTCAGCGGATGTGACCTAGCGACATCCTTGAACCCTCCAGAGGACCGTGTCAGGATCACTAGGGCACCAGGCCTGGGATTATAGTTAAGGGGGCAGTGCAGTAACCAAATCGCAACACCAGCTGGACCGTGCCCGCCTGTCGCCTTCTGTGGGAAAGGAGTCCACTGAGGAGTGCCCGCACTTGACCAGGGCTGTGTTCGGCAGTCCTGAGCATCTCTTCCATGAAAAGAAAGATGGAAAAGTATGTTTTTTGACCATCCTACCTGGGCTGAAAATTAAAATATTTCTTCACTGACCTCTAAAAGTTCAATGTTATTGATTAGAGGCTCTTTCTTCTCTATCCTGGGGTAATTGAAACTCAGCTTATGGTTAGTGAGGCAGTAGACCTTGTATGTTTTGAGGACAGGCCCTAATGTTGCCTGGACTGGCCTCAAACTTGAGATCCTTCCACCTCCTGAGGAAGCTAGGATTATAGGCATGTACCATCATGCCTAGCTTTTTTATGTTTTTTAAAGAGACATTAAAACATTTTCACGTGTTCCTCAATGTAGGTGAGTCACACGCTGGGACGGGACCCATGCTGATCCCTGTTCCACCCCACACCTGCTTGTTAGAACCAACTTCATACAGCCAGTGGTATGGCTGTATCTTCCCCCATGTTGGAAGCACATATATTCACTCAACAAACAGCCTGAAGTCACATGGCTCACATTCTCATGGGTGGAGGCAGATGGGGAGCCAGGGGCTGCACATGGAAGGGGAGGGCAAGGATGGGTGGACAGGTCCTTAGGTTCTGAGGAGCCCTCAGTCCTGGAGCTGTGCACATCAACGTGCCCTGTCTTCTTCTTTCCCTACTGTGGGGAGGTGAGATGCCTTGACTCTCATGTGGAGAAACCTGGTCCTTTGTTCCCAAGATGACTCCAGCATCCTGTTGCCTTCTCTCCTGGCTCACACAAGAAGTCACTCGGAGGCTGAGAAGGGCAGCATCACTCAGCTGATCCCGGAAGACAATCTGGTGGCCTCACCGACTTCCCCACCACCACTATACCACTCCTTTCAGGGACCAAACTTCCAGCATTGCTGACCCTTGCTCTTTCCATCTCCCGGCAGTCATGGCCATGCGAGCACCATTCCCAGTTCCCACCCACTCGCCTGCGC